ATCTGACCTTTTGCTCAGTGCATTATTTACCTGATTCTTAGCTTGCGTGGGAAAGGTGACCAGGACCTGGTGTCTCTTCCTGTTCACCTTGCCTCCTAACCCGTAGCACCTTGCAGGAGTGCATCTCTGTCCACACTGGCCATTCTGATGGCCAGATGCCAAGTGACAAGGCCATTTCGGGAGATGACTTCTTCAATATCTCGTTTAGTGAGCAGGTGCTGACAAGGGTGTGCTGACAGCAGTTATTAGAGACGGAGCCCACAGTCATTGATGAAGTCTGTACTGATACACCTCCAGCTGTTTCATTCTGAGCAGTTCATCACAGGCAAGGGAGATGCTGCCATGAACTATGCCCAGAAGAACTACTCATGGGCAATGAGACCAATGACCTTGTCTGGGATGGAATTTACAAGCTCACCAGCCAGTGCTCCAGCCTTGTTTTTCTATACCTTTGGTAGGAAACTGGCTCAACGTTCTCCTTGCTGCTGATGGAATGTCACTCTGCTGATTACAGGTGGAGTTTTTCGCTTAGCCTGCCCCGGGTTTTCACAGCCGTCTTTGAACACTACAACTCCACCTTCATTATATTATCCTGCAGAACTCCCATTGTGTCTTTATGGCAGACAATGAGGTCATCTATGACATTTGACACAGAAACTTCAATATTGCCAGGCAGTGATGGTGCATGCCTTTAATCTCAGCATTTGGGAGGCAGAGGCAGGCAGATCTCTATGAGCTTGAGGCCAGCCTGGTCTACAGAGTGAGATCCAGGACAGCCTGGGCTGTTACATAGAGAAACCCTGCTACAAAAGAAGAAGAAGAAGAAGAAGAAGAAGAAGAAGAAGAAGAAGAAGAAGGAGAAGGAGAAGGAGAAGGAGAAGGAGAAGGAGAAGGAGAAGGAGAAGGAGAAGGAGAAGGAGAAGGAGAAGGAGAAGGAGAAGGAGAAGGAGAAGGAGAAGGAGAAGGAGAAGGAGAAGGAGGAGAAGGAGAAGGAGAAGGAGGAGAAGGAGAAGGAGAAGGAGAAGGAGAAGGAGAAGAAGAAGAAGAAAAGAGAAAAGAAAAGGAAAGAAAAAAGAAAGAAAGAAAAGAAAAAAAAAAGAAAAGAAAGAAGAGGAAAAAAGAAACCTCAATATTGAGTACCCAACCTCCATTAACCTTCTGGCCTTCTTAGCCAGATCATTCTTCCCTCCCATTTGACAGCTTTCCATTCCCACCTCCCTGCAGCTGCATACAGCCCTGTCTTCTCTGCTGAGAAAGCTTCTCAGGAGCAGGGGTCTTTAGCAGAGGCCCCTAGTGCTTACTTGGAGCTACCCAACCAGATGGTAAAGTGCGACCTCACCACAGTAAACACATGGCTTTGAAGCCTAGTGTGCCATGGTGATGTGGCTCCTAAAGAGGTCAGTGCTACTGTTGCCATCATCAAGACCACAGACAGCACGGAGTTTGTATTCTCATACTCCGGTGGCCTCAAGGCCGGTGTCCATCTCTCCCAGTGTCACCTGATAGAGACCTGGACCAGCTACAGTGAGCTGTGCATGCTGAACACCACCACTGCCACTGCTGAGGCCTGGGATCACCAAGACCACAAATCTGATATGTGCCGGGTGTACCTTTGTTCACTGGCTTGTGGGTGAGGGATAGAGGAAGGGGGGACTTCTGAGGCCCATAAGGACACTGTGGCCCTAAAAAAATATTATATAGGGAGGTCGGTGTGAATGCCGTTGAGGGGGAAGAGAAGAAGGAAGGGAATATAATTATCCATTCCTTTCACTGCAGCTGCAGGCCTTATTCCTGGAAATTTACCTTCAACCTTAGCTGACAGCTATTAAAAGCTTCCTGATTAGATTATCTTCTCTTGCCTTAAAAAATAATTCATCTGCTGGGCAGTGGTGGCACATGCCTTTAATCCCAGCAATCAGGAAGCAGAGGCAGGAGGATCTCTGTGAGTTCGAGGCTAGCCTAGTCTACAGAGTGAGTTCTAGGACAGCCAGGGCTACACGGAATAACCCTGTCTCAAAAAAAGAAAAGAAAAGAAAAAAAATAAAATCATCCAACATTTCTAGTTGTTTGCTGCTCCAGATTTCACCATACTGACAAGAATTCAATAACCCAACGCTGCTCTGGTCCAGTCATTTCCTCTGAGCTCCAGCTGCATCAGACACATATGGAAACCTCTACTTGGGTATCTACAGGCACCTCAGGTTCAATAAACTAGTTACCACCCACCCAAACCTCTTGTTTTAGTTTCTCAACTACAGAGGTCATGTCCCTTAGGTCCTTCCTTTTTCTGAGTCCAGCTAACGGTACTTATGAAGCAGCAGAAGCTGCTGTACACCCTACATGCAGACTCGACTTCCCACTACATAACACCTTACACCTGTCACAGAAAAGCCTTCCTGATCCCATTTCCTCTGCCCTATTTCCTGCTCAGTCATTCGCACTCCCAGGTCCAATGACAGCCAGGGAATGTCCTTGAGTGAAATAAGGTGGGTAGAGACGTGTTCCCATTGATCGTGCAGAAAGGGATGCCGATCCATGTCACTAGCTTTTTCAATATTTCAAGAAAAGTAGGGGGCTAGAGCAAGGACTCAGTGGTTAGAGTGCTTGTTGCTGTTGCAGAGGACCCAGGTCCAGGTCAGGGTCCCAGCACCTTTGTGGGAACAACTGCTTGTAACTCTAGCTCCAGGGGATCAAAAGCCCTCATCAGGCCTCTAAGGTCACCTGCACGCACGTGAACACACACACACACAGACACAGACACAGACACACACACACACACACACACACACACACACACACACACACATACACACACACAATCCCTCAAACACACAACAATAAACAAATCTTTTAATAAATCTCTCTCTCTCTCTCTCTCTCTCTCTCTCTCTCTCTCTCTCTCTCTCTCTCTCTCTCTCTCTCTCTTCCAATTAGGGAGTTGGAAAGAGGGCTCAGCAGTCAGAAGGGCATACTTCTGTGCTGGCAGGCTGCAGTTCTGTTCCCAGTACCCGGGACCCATGGCTGACAACTTCCTGGACCTCCAGCTAGCTCCAGGGGATCCCATGCCTTCTGGCTTTCCAGGGCACCTGAACTCCACTCAGACTTAAAACTTAAGGAAAACTACTTTTAAAAAACAGAAACTGTCAGGTGTGGTGGTGCACGCCTTTAATCCCTGTACTCAAGAGGCAGAGGCAGAGGCAGATGGATCTCTGTGAGTTCGAGGCCAGCCTGGTCTACAGCGTGAGATCCAGGACAGGCACCAAAACTACACAGAGAAACCCTGTCTTGAAAAACCAAAAAGAAAAGAAAAGAAACCAAACAAACAAAAAACAGAAAGACAAATAGTCATGAACCATCTAGTGTTTTGCTTTTTGAGACAGGGTTTCTCTGTGTAGCCCTGGCTTTCCTGGAACTCTGTAGACCAAGCTGGCCTTAAACTAAGAGATCTGCCTGTCTCTGCCTCTGCCTCCGCAGTTCTGTGATTAAAGACATGAACCCACCACTATCCAGTCATCTGCTATTTTTTAAGCATGGACAATTAAATAATGGAGATACTGAAAGCCTGTCTCCAAAAAAAAAAAAAATCTCCTAACACTTCCTGTATAGAAAATAGACTTCAGCATTTTGCTCTCTCCACATAATTCCCTTTTTTTTCTTAACTAGAGTTATTTATTTTAAATAGCAATTGTATCTGTTTGAATGGCACGTGGGGGGAGGCGTGTGCCCTCAGGTCAGAGTTGTTGGCTCCCCTGGAGCTGGAATTACAGTTGTTTGTGAACCATTTGCTACAGATGTTGGGAACTGAACTCTGTTCCTGTGGAAGGGTAATACACGGTCTTAACCGCTGAGCCATATCTCCAACCCCAAATACCCTTTTTCATCTTTTTATCCTTGTTGAGTTTTTTCTCTTTGGAGGTTTTCCTGGCTCCAGTCCAGATAGAATTATTAATAACCCTCATCTCGGTCTCTGAGCATATCCTTGTCTTCTTTGCAGTGCCTTAAAGTATATTGTATTGTGGTTATTTGTCCTCAAAAGCATATATATACATATATATACATACACATATGTGTGTATGTGTGTGTGTGTGTATTTCATCGTTATGCTGTCAGCATTTAACTGGCACTTGACACAGATGCTCCTCTGGAAATATTTGCTGACCTTAGATCCTGCTTAGACTGAAGGCTGGTGAATGCGATGGCGCAATACGGGTAATGAATGCGGATGACCATTAGAGGGCAGACTAATCCCATGGCGCTTCGGCCCAACAGCCCAGCAGTTTGGTGTCCCCAGACTCCTCGCGCCTTCATTATTCTTCCCGTGTTCATTTCCAACTACAACCTCACAGGTCCCATTTTAATAATCTTCTACACAAAGCACTCAAATGATGTTACATCTCTTCTCTAGCCACCCACTCCTCCCCGTCCCCACTTTCCATCATTATTTGGGAACTAAAGAGTTAACTCCACCCTCCCACCTGGTCATCTTGCTCTGTTAATCTGCGCGATCTGGGAGGCGGCGGCGAAGAAGAAAGGGGAGGTTCTCGTTGATGGACTGTGTAACCCGGACTCTGGCTCGCCTCCACTTGGTTGCCTTTTCCAGAAACCCTCCCAAACTCCTACAAGCCACACACACCTTTTCCGGCCGAGATCCAAACAAGCCTCTATTTCCCTCTTCCCCAAAAGGAGCCAGGTAGGAGAGGAGAGCCCAGGAGGGGCGCCAGGGCCGGGGAGCAGCTTCCTTACGCCTCCCTCCTCAGCCTTGCTCTCCCCACGGCCTGTGCGCCCCGCCCGCGGGGGCTGCCAGGGGAGGGAAACCTCGCACCGCGGCAACGCGGAGGGAAGAGGGTCAGCAATAACCACGCGCACGCCCGGGTGGGGGCCAGCCGTAGCCTAGGCTGGGCAGAAGGAGTTAAAGAGCCGGGATTGGCTCCCTGGGCTTTCTTGTCACCGAATCTGGGAGGGGAGGATTCGCTGCCTGGTTCGGGACCTTGTGGTCCCGTCCCCCCCACCCCTCCCGCCTCCGGAACGGCCGGAGACTTGAGCCAGCCGGACGCCCCTTCTGGCACACTCCTGGGGCAAGCGCGAGCGCACACTCCCCTTTCCTCGCTGGCGCTCCCTCTCGCCTCGCTCCCTCCGGATCACCCTCTCGCTCGCTCGCTCTCCACCGACTCCCTCCGGGTGCTGCGCTCGCTCCCACCTGCTCCGAGGAGCCCTCCGCTCCCGGACGCGCCCAGCTTAGCGCGCTTCCTAGACGACCGGACCGTCGCAGCCCCGGCAGGCAGCGTGCTCTCGGGGCTGCCGCTGCGACCCACCCCGGCCCTCGCTCTTGCTCTGGCTCTCTGGATGTCCGCGATTCGCCCCTGAGCCCCAGGACTGCGAGCAGAACATGGTGACAGCGCTGTCCCGCCGCCGTTGCGCTCGCTGAGGCCATGCCCGGCTCCCGACGCGTCCGTCCGCGCCTGCGGGCGCTGCTGCTGCTGCCACCTCTGCTGCTGCTCCGGGGCGGGCACGCGGGGGACCTGACGGTGGCCGTGGTGTTGCCGCTGGCCAACACCTCATACCCGTGGTCGTGGGCGCGCGTGGGGCCGGCCGTGGAACTGGCTCTCGAGAAGGTGAAGGCGCAGCCGGACTTGCTGCCGGGCTGGACGGTCCGCATGGTGCTGGGCAGCAGCGAGAACGCGGCGGGCGTCTGCTCCGACACCGCTGCACCGCTGGCCGCGGTGGACCTCAAGTGGGAGCACAGCCCCGCGATGTTCCTGGGCCCCGGCTGCGTGTACTCCGCTGCCCCGGTGGGGCGCTTCACCGCGCATTGGCGGGTGCCGCTGCTGACCGCCGGCGCCCCGGCTCTGGGCATCGGGGTCAAGAACGAGTACGCGCTGACCACGCGCGCGGGGCCCAGCCACGTCAAGCTGGGCGATTTCGTGGCTGCGCTGCATCGACGGCTGGGCTGGGAGCACCAGGCGCTGGTGCTCTACGCGGATCGGCTGGGCGACGACCGGCCTTGCTTCTTCATAGTGGAGGGGCTGTACATGCGGGTGCGTGAGCGCCTCAACATCACAGTGCATCACCAGGAGTTCGTCGAGGGCGACCCCGACCACTACACCAAGCTACTGCGGGCCGTGCGGCGCAAGGGCAGAGGTGAGGCGGGCACCCACTCGGACCCCTGGCTCTCGCGGCCTTCTCTCCGGCCTGTCCAGGGCCTGGCATTTCTTCCCCCTTTGGGAGCCAGGCATCCTCCTGGCTGTTTCTCTTAGGGTCTTGCCCAACACGACTTTCCCACCTCGGAGTTTCTAGTTCCCTCTCTTACAACCCTTCGGCGGCGCCGGGTTTGCATTCCTACCCTCTCCCCCACCCCCACCCCTTTCCTCCAGTCTCCCCGTGACCTTCCTGCCGCGGACTTTTCCTGAGTTAAGCGCGGAAGGGCCTAGTTCTAGCGCTACTGCGTCCTCTGCTTGGTGCCCGGCTTTTCTTCCTCCTGTTTTCGCTCTACACTACCACGTTCTCTCTCCTCCAGTTTCTTCTCTTGCTCCTACACGAGCTCTCGGGTTCCTTCTCCCGCTGGCCATTCTCTGATTCTTCCTGCGCCCTTGGTCCCCCACCTTCTGTGTTCCCTCCTCTCACCTCTCTTTCTCCCTCCCTACTCTGCACACCTTCTTCCCCCATCTTTCACGGTCTCTTGCCAAGGCCCAGACTGAGCCAGGAGTTGGTGCCATTTAAAGACTACAAACTCAGAATTCCCTCCCTTGCAATGCCTTGTGTGTTCGTTCTTGTGTGCCCCCCTCCCTCTCTCCCTCCCTTCTTTCTCTCTCCCTCACCCCCCCCCCTTCTCCTTCTTTCCTTCCAGTTATCTATATCTGCAGTTCTCCTGACGCCTTCAGGGCTCTGATGCTTCTGGCCATGGATGCCGGCCTGACTGGGGAGGACTATGTTTTCTTCCACTTGGATGTGTTTGGGCAAAGCCTCCAGGGTGCTCACGGCCCTGCTCCCCAAAAGCCCTGGGAAAAAAGAGATGGGCAGGACAGCAGTGCCCGGCAGGCCTTTCAGGTGAGTGCTGGGGTTGTTGACACATCGTTTCTGGGCACTATGCCCCTACATGTCTGAAATGATTCCAGAAAACAGGTTTTGGATAGTCAGAGAGTTGTACAATGAACTCCATGGGATTTGGGCGCTTCAGAATCAGGAGGCTAAACAAGTAATAGAATGGATCTGAAGTAGGAGGATCTTAAAGACCCATGAACTAGACAGTTCTCGAATCTTTTGCTCAAGCATGGAGGCTACCTCATAAAGGACACAGGGTTCAATTTGATCTTTTTCTTATTTAATATTTATTGTTTACTTTTTGTTTTTGTTCGTTGGTTTTGAGCCAGGGTCTCTCTATGTATTCCTGGTTGTTGTCCTGGAACTCATTATACAGACCAGGCTGGCCTCAAACTCAGATTCTCTTGCTTCTGCCTCCTCCTGGGTGCTAGGTTTAAAGGTGTGTGCTACCACACACAGTCATTCAGTTTGATCTTGACCTAAACAAAGAGGCTGGTCTGGGAGGTGGGACCCCAGATGATTGGGACGCCAGGATACAGGGGGGACTGGGGTCAACTCCTAGGACTCCCCTTTTCACGGATTCCTTCCTCAGGCTGCCAAAATCATTACTTACAAAGAGCCAGATAATCCTGAGTACCTGGATTTTCTGAAGCAGCTCAAACTCTTGGCTGACAAGCAGTTCAACTTCACCATAGAGGATGGCCTGGTAAGAGGGGGTCCTAGGAACCGCCAGTGTGGATCTCCAGACCCTAATTCATGGCTCTGCCATTCTATCCCACTCTCTCAGGCATTCTATTATTCCATCTCCTCTTCTTCCTATTATTTCTGTTTCTCTTTTGATGGTGGAGGGAGACAGCGGCAAATTCAATCCTTGAACCTAAAGTCCTCATCAGGGAAGTGGGAATGACATAGCCTGCCCTATCTACCTAACATGACTCCGAGTGGGGAGCAATGGTAGATGCAAGCATATCTGTTGAGCATCACATCTCTGTGGAATATGGTTGTTTTCTGTATCCTCTTCCAAGCTCCCAGTACCCCCCAGTTCCCTACCCACAGCACTACACTTTGTTACTCTCTGCCCTGTCTGAGCTCTGCTTGCTTCTACAGGAGAATATCATCCCAGCATCCTTCCATGATGGGCTCCTGCTCTATGTCCGGGCAGTAACAGAGACTCTGGCACAGGGGGGAACTGTCACTGACGGGGAGGACATCACTCAGCGGATGTGGAACCGAAGCTTCCAAGGTCAGGGCCCAGAATTAACTGGAATGGGCCCCTTTGGCAGTGGAAGTGAGAGGGAGCCCCAGGTGCCCCAGCAGGAGACCACAAAAAGCCTGATATCCATCCAGTCTCCTAAGTTCCCTAAAATTCTGTGTGCCGAACCTGCCACTCCCACCGGCAACATAGCTGACCTTTTCACCATTACGCATGTGTCCATATTTGTGTCTACATCTCTGTCTCTATCTTGAGAGAGAGAGATGGTTGGGATGAAGTGAGGTGTCTCTGAACCTCCATTTTTTCAGAACACAGCTTTCCTCCCCTATGTCCCTAGGTGTGACAGGATACCTGAAAATTGATAGCAATGGAGATCGGGAGACCGACTTCTCCCTCTGGGATATGGATCCAGAAACAGGCGCCTTCAGGGTAAGTTCATGCATGCACCAAGAAGACAGTGCCAGGCAGGAATGGTGTCTCATCCTCCTACCCCCTTTCCCCCCTTCCCCAGCATCCCTGCCAGGTATGAGAATACTGGATAAGGCAGGTTCAACTCCTCAGTCTAGGGAGCAACCAAAATGATCAGGATGCACAGGGAACTCCGGGTCTGAAGAGAGAACAGAATCCTTCCCTTGAGGAGTTCCTAAGACAGCTGGGACCCCATCCTAGCAGAGACAGGTACTCAGAGCCAAGAAGAAGGCATGTGTGCACCTATGTAAACGCAGCAGGGACAGGAAGGGACAGAGGTCAAAGGCACTGAGAATCAGATCTACCGGTGAAGGCCTGAAAGAGATATACAGGGATTAGTCCTGCAAGTGTAGACCGAGGTGTTTCTGTCTTGCAACCAATGCCAAACTTCCTGAGTATACAGTTGGGGTTTCCATTGGGATTTCCTACGGGTACTTCTCTACAAAGCCTTTTAGTGTTCAAGATTTTTGCCCCTTAATGCTTTGGGCATAGATTTGAACTCTCTGGATAGTCCCAGCAGGAGCCTGGTGAGTAGTTGGTAGCCCAGAGACAGGTCCTAGAAACAGAGATTGACAAGCAGGAGGCAAGATGGTTCAGAGGCTACAGGCACTCACCACTCCTGATCTCCCTCAGGTCGTCCTGAACTATAATGGGACTTCCCAGGAGCTGATGGCTGTGTCAGAACGCAAATTATACTGGCCGCTGGGATACCCGCCTCCTGACATCCCTAAGTGTGGCTTTGACAATGAGGACCCAGCCTGCAACCAAGGTGACTGGCCCGTGCTGCCAAAGTTCTGTCGTGGAGACACTGGCTCCTCCCTGGGGAGTTGGAGGCCTTCTGCCTGACTGAAACTCCCTTCATTTGTCATCTGTTAGACCATTAGACGATTCCCTTCCCTGTTGTCTAACAACCCCCCCCCATCTCTCTTCTCCAACATGGACCCTCCCACAGACCACTTTTCCACACTGGAGGTTCTGGCGTTGGTGGGCAGCCTCTCTCTCATTAGCTTTCTGATTGTGTCCTTCTTCATATACAGGTAAGTTAGGGACTAGGTGAGGCTGGGGAGACTTGGGAGCCCAGAGAAGGGAGCAGGAGGAGAACAGGCCTGGGAAGGAGCCTCACTCGGGAAAAGAATACTTATTTCATTCCCTCAGGGAGGAGGCAGAAGCTCCAGATTGGAGTCTGGGAAGGATGGAGCAGTCAGGTTGGTTCAGGTTGGGTTAGAGCTACAAAGCCCTATCTAGGAACTCAGAGGGAACAGAGAAGTTGGGAATGGCATCATAGCAGAGGGGATACTGATGTGGAACTGGCATCTTTTGCTGAGGCCAGATGGAAAGCAGTTCAAAACCTTCAGGTACTGGCCCACAGTAGTTGGCCCTAAATGATGAACCCTGCTGTGACTACCTGGATCTCCTGTTGTGAGGTAGAATTTCCCTCAGGCCCCAGGCCTCCCAACTCCTAGTTCAGAGAACAGGACTCCCTCGCTCATCTCTTAGCACATGAAATGTCCCAGGGCTCTGAGGGGCTGCTGCGCACCCCACTGGGCCAGCGGCTCAGGTGCGGACTTCCCATCCCAGGAAGATGCAGTTGGAGAAGGAGCTGGCCTCAGAGTTGTGGCGGGTACGCTGGGAGGATCTGCAGCCCAGCAGCCTGGAGAGGCATCTTCGGAGTGCTGGCAGCCGGCTGTCCCTGAGCGGGGTGAGAACACTGTTGTCCCTGGAGGGTGGGAAGAGTTGGGTATCAAGGGTGATGCCTGCCTGGTGAGTAAGTAGAAGGCGATCTTAAGCTGGACTCATACCTGGAATCAGGACTTGGGAAGTTAAGACAGGAAGATTGCTTCAGGTCTGAGGCTAGCCTGTGCTACGGAATGAGACCCTCTGTCTTAGAAAAGCAAATCCGGTGGTGGTGGCGGTGGGTGGCGCACGCCTTTAATCCAGCACTCGGGGAGGCAGAGGCAGGCAATCTCTGTGAGTTGAAGGCCAGCCCGGTCTACAGAGTGAGATCCAGGACAGCCAAGGCTACACAAAGAAACTCTGTCTCAAAATAATAATAATAATAATAACAATAATAATAATAATAATAAATTAAAAATAATAATAAAAGCAAAACCGAACAGAAGAAGTCTACCCCCAGCTCTGCCTTCACTTGCTATCTCTGGCATTGTCTCAGGTGAGGGCTGCAGCTACAGCCTCCCTGACAAGGCTATTTCAAAGGTCAAAGGTCTAAGTAAATACACAGCCCTGAGTCTAACATACTACAGAAAGGAGGGTGAGAGCTAGCCTCGGTGGCTCACACCTGTAATCCTAGCTTGGGAGGCTGAGGCAGTAGCATTGCTAGGAGTTCCAGGGCAGCCTGGGCTAAAGAGTGATACCCCCATCTCAGGAGGGTGACACAGATAAGGGGTAGTGTGACTGAATGTAGAATTTCTGGGATGCAGACTGGCCCCCGGGGCTGACCATGCAGTCTGTTGTTCCTCTCTGCAGCGAGGTTCCAATTATGGCTCCCTTCTGACCACAGAGGGCCAGTTCCAAGTCTTTGCCAAGACAGCATACTATAAGGTAAGGTCTGGGGAAAGAGAGACTGTTGATCCTCGGGATTCAGGTGGATTCCCAGTGTGCTCTGAGAACTAAGAGATGGTTCTGAGGCGGGCCACCAGAGGACAGGGGTGGGCTTTTAGAACAAGGTAAGGACCTGGGGTCATGGATGGGCTTTCAGAAGCAGTTGGGGAGGGGGGTGTCTCAGGCCATACCCTGCACAGCACGTCTCCATTTCTTGCTCAGGGCAACCTCGTGGCTGTGAAACGTGTGAACCGGAAACGCATTGAGCTGACACGAAAAGTCCTGTTTGAACTTAAGCATGTAACGTAGGGGAATGAGGCCGTGGCCTGGGAAGGGACCCCTGGGTACTCCAAGAGAGTTGGCCAACAACTGATTATGGAGGGATCTGTAGATCTGGGATGGGCCCTTGAGTCTTGTGGGTAGGAAGAGGGAGATCAGTTATGAGCGATCACTGGGTCCTTCGGGGTCCAGATGTGTTGTCCCCACAGGTAGACAGCCTGGAGGATGAGAGGTTAGAGAGCAGATTCTGAGCAAGGACATGTTAGCAAACACGTGACTTGGTGAGGTGTGAAGCCTCTGCCAAGGGCCTTGACACCGTCCCAACCTGCAGATGCGAGATGTGCAGAATGAACACTTGACCAGGTTTGTGGGTGCCTGTACCGACCCCCCGAACATCTGTATCCTCACAGAGTACTGTCCCCGTGGGAGCCTACAGGTGAGTGGAACAAGGGGGTATGTGTGTCAGGAAACTTGGCTCTTACCCCACTGACCATATGAGTCTAGACAAGCCTCCCTCTTTCTGGCTTTTCTCAGCCCTCTCTGTAAATGGGAGTCGGCGGGGGCGGGGGGGGGGGGGGGGTCTGGGTCGGGGGCAGGCATGGTAATGGCACTAGAGTGAATCCAAGTGTCCTGTTATACCAGTTTATGCCAGTAGCTTCCTTGTGCCCTCCTCCTACGCCCAGGGGGTTCTGACTCTTGCTGCCCCCAGCAGGACATTCTAGAGAATGAGAGTATAACTCTGGACTGGATGTTTCGGTACTCACTCACCAATGACATTGTCAAGGTGAGTCCAGAGGAGCTCACTGGGTACCAGGCAAGGGCTGGGCACGGTTGGAAGTCACATTCGTGCCCAAGCCCTCTGCCTTCCTAAATTTCCCAGGGAATGCTCTTTCTACACAATGGGGCCATTTGTTCCCATGGGAACCTCAAGTCGTCCAACTGCGTGGTAGATGGGCGCTTTGTGTTAAAGATCACGGACTATGGGCTCGAGAGCTTCAGAGACCCGGAGCCAGAGCAAGGACACACCCTCTTTGCCAGTGAGCCTGACTCTTGACCCCCTAGGCTTTTGCTGCCAACACAGCTGAGAAGGGCAAGTGAGGCCGAGCCTCTGTTTGACGTGGGTACATCTCTCACCTCCAGGCTCAACCTTCATTGGTTAAAGAGGTCAGACTAAACAGTCTCTAGTCCTCTGGTTCTCGGCGCTGTGCAATGTCCACAGGAGGGCTCGCCACTGCCTTGTTCCCAGCTAATCTTAAACTGTCCAATGCTTTCTTTTCTCAGCATTATCGGACCATGCTTTCTTACTTTTATTATGGCATTTATTACCCATGAGATATGATAGTCATCTGCTAGTTTTCCTATCAGAATGTAAAGTGCCTTACATTAAAGAGCTTTGGGGCCTCTCCTCTGACTCCTCACCTCTGATCCACAGAAAAATTGTGGACCGCACCTGAGCTCCTGAGAATGTCTTCCCCGCCTGCCCGTGGCTCCCAAGCTGGTGACGTATACAGCTTTGGCATCATCCTTCAGGAGATTGCCCTCAGGAGTGGGGTCTTCCATGTGGAAGGTTTGGACCTCAGCCCGAAAGGTGAGGATCATGTGGCCTATACCCCAGCCAATCTTGACTAACCCATCCCCAGAGAGGGAACCCCTGCAAACACCCCTACCCTTCCTTCTGGAGTGGGGGAGTCAACCACCGTCCTTTGCTCCATGGCTGACAGTGACCAGTCCACTCTGTGCTCTGGGTCTGGACTTGACCCACCTGCCCCAGCTGGTTGTCCAACTAGGCCCTGGATAATACCACTCTTCTGTGCATACCCCTTCCCACACAGAGATCATTGAGCGTGTGACTCGGGGTGAGCAGCCCCCATTCCGACCCTCCATGGCTCTGCAGAGCCACCTAGAGGAACTGGGGCAGCTGATGCAGAGGTGCTGGGCAGAGGACCCACAGGAGCGGCCACCCTTCCAGCAGATCCGCCTGGCACTACGAAAGTTTAACAAGTTAGTGGTCTCTTCCCACCACTGCCACAATAAAGCCGACCTGAAATCTGTTTCTACAGTGGCAGAGGGAGCCCACTGCGGCCCATCACAGCCTCACAAGCATCTGCCTATGTGTATAACTTGGCTGTCCCCACAGCTCTCTACCATTCACAGTTCATTCCTCCTACCAACATTGACGCTCCACACCCTTCCTGTCCGCAGCCCTACACTGACCCCCAGACTTACGATAAATAAGCGTAGATGGTCCAGATTCCCCAGCCTCTTCCCACCTCCCCACTTAGTCTCAGTCCTACTCCAAGTCCCTACCCCAGCCCTTCCCTCCGGCCCACTGGGGCCTAGTCTCTCAGACATGTCTCTCGGCTGCCTGTGTGCCCATCACTCTCCTCAACTCATCCTGCCTCACTTCCTCTCCACCTCCTTCCGACTCACTTGTGTTCAATAAGAATAAATAAGACATCCAGCTCGGCTCAGAGGCAGGTGGATGTCTGTGGGTTCGAGGCCAGCCTCGTCTACATGGCAAGTTCTAAGACAGCTAGGACTGTTTAGAGAGACCCTGTCTCAAAGGGGGGAAAAAAAAGTGGTAAGTGCCTGAATGTGGGCACTGCCAGGCAGGAGCAATCATCTCATCTGTGCCCCCACCACATGCCCCACGGCCCTCAGGGAGAATAGCAGCAACATCCTGGACAACCTGCTGTCACGCATGGAGCAGTATGCGAACAACCTGGAGGAACTGGTAGAGGAGAGAACACAGGCCTACCTGGAGGAGAAGCGCAAAGCTGAGGCCTTGCTCTACCAGATTCTGCCTCAGTGAGTGCTGGACTGTGGATGCGAGCATTCCCATGCCTGCACACGCGCACGTGCGCACGATCACATAGCCCACTCCCCACCCCACCTCACCTTCCGGTCTCTACCTGCCCTCACCCCTCAGCTCTGTGGCTGAGCAGCTGAAGAGAGGCGAGACAGTCCGGGCGGAGGCCTTTGACAGTGTTACCATCTACTTCAGTGACATCGTGGGCTTCACAGCGCTTTCGGCGGAGAGCACACCCATGCAGGCAAGTGGGGTTCGGCCACGGGCCAGGTAGGGTCAGCTTGGCCTTCTGGTTAGCACTCCCCGTTTGTCCCTGCTGGGAACCCACATTCCCCATTTCTCTTGGCGTCCCTTGCCTTCCAGGTGGTGACCCTGCTCAATGATCTGTATACCTGTTTTGATGCTGTCATAGACAACTTTGATGTGTACAAGGTGAGGGTGTGAGTAGGTACAGGAAGGACAGGCAGACATGGACAGAATAAAAAAAAATGTTCAGAGGGGTACACTGGATGGGAAAAAAAAAAAAAGGCCAGACAGTGGTCATGCCTTTAAACCCAGCACTCGGGAGGCAGAGGCAGGCATGTCTCAGTGAGTTCAAGGCCACCCTGGTCTACAGAGTGAGTTCCAGGACAGACAGAGCTACACAGAGAAACCCTGTCTCCAAAAACCAAAAGAAAAAAGAAAGCAAAGACCAAGGACATGGGCAAAGAGACACAGGGGACCCAGGAACAGACAGAAAAACTGGGGATGGAGGATGTACAGTGACAGGCGGGTTGATAGGGACAGATTGACAGACAGTGAACATGGATTGGCAGGCTCACCAGCACAGGGAAAGCTCCAGTCCTCCTGTCCCTCATTCTCACGCCACGCCCCACAGGTGGAGACCATTGGCGATGCTTACATGGTGGTGTCAGGGCTCCCAGTACGGAATGGACAGCTCCACGCCCGAGAGGTGGCCCGAATGGCGCTTGCTCTGCTGGATGCTGTACGCTCCTTCCGCATCCGCCATAGGCCCCAGGAGCAGCTGCGCTTGCGCATTGGCATCCACACAGGTCAGCCCACAGAAGGCAACTGGAGTCAGATCCAGGAGGCTAAAACTAGAGAACGAGCGGTTGCCCTTGCTTCTAGTCCGCTTATCCCCTGCCTTTCCTTACACATCCTGGGACCACATATCCCAACTCCTACCTCTCCTGGAGTGCCCACCTACCTCCTCTAACATCCCTGGGCTTCTTTTCCCCGCCCAGGTCCTGTGTGTGCTGGTGTTGTAGGGCTGAAGATGCCCCGATACTGCCTCTTTGGAGACACAGTCAACACAGCTTCAAGAATGGAGTCCAATGGAGAAGGTAGTAGAATGTCCCTCCTAGAGGGAATAAGAAAGGCGGCTGGCAAAGGCTTCCTGCTGCTTATGCCTGCCTAGTTTCTCAGCTAGCTCCAGCCTTCTCTCCTCCCACACTGCCTTTTCATAACGCACATATCCCCCACATTGTAAATCTAGGCTATTGCTGTGTGTGTGTGTGTGTGTGTGTGTGTGTGTGTGTGTGTACAGTGGATTGAAAATGCACTAATCCCACCTTACCCACCTTACCTATGAACATCATAGCTTAATTAGGTACCTGAATTGTTTTCAAGGCACTTTCATTAGCCTACAGCTGAGCAACGCAATCTAACACAATCCCCTTTTCCCTCTGTGTGTGGCATTAGAGATTTAACAAGTGCCCTGACACTGAGATATGTGATAGAAGATATTTATATTCTTTATTTTAATGTGGATCTCATTAAGTTGCTCAGGCTGGTCTTCAGGCTGGTCTTGAACTTATAATTTTCTTGCTGTAGTCTCTCAGTAGCTGGGATTACAGGCCTAAGCCACCAGCCTGGAAAACAAAGTCTATTTTATAATAATAAAGTATCGAATGTGCTCATATACCCACAAAGATAGGTGTTTTGCTGGTGAGGTGCTCAGTGAGTTAAGGTGCTTGCTGGCCAAGCCTGATGACCTGAGGTTGATCCTTGAGACCCACATGGTTCCAGGGGAGAATGGATTCTCACAAGTTGTCCCTCTGACCTCCATATACTCACCACATACCCACATACATATGTACACATACAATAAATGAATGAGGTCAGGCGGTGGTGGCACACGCTTTTAATCCCAGCACTCGGGAGGCAGAGCCAGGCAGATCTCTGTGAGTTTGAGGCCAGCCTGGTCTACAGAGTGAGTTCTAGGACAGCTAAAGCTACACAGAGAAACCCTGTCTCGAAAAACCAAATAAATAAATAAATACCACAATATGCCAGGAGTGTTGGAGCACATCTTTAGTCCCAGTTCTCAGGAGGCAGAGACAGGCAGATACCTGAGTTCAAGGCCAATCTGATCTATACAGTGAGTTCCAGGACAGCCAGCACTACCTAGTGAGACACTGTCTTGAAAACAAAACAAAAAACAGCCTGGTCTACAAAGTGAGATCCAGGACAGGCACCAAAACTACACAGAGAAACCCTGTCTCGAAGAAAAAACAAACAAACAAACAACAACAACAAAAAAAAAACACCCCCACACATGATGTCCAAAAATGTCCTCTCCACCCACGATACATAAATAAATGTAGTTTAAAATGTAAAGACTTATGAGAGAATGCAGTATAAAATTGTCATTCATCTTTTCTGGGCCTCAGCTGCTTCTACATATAGTATTCCTGTTTGCAGGCTGTAAAAGATCTAGCACAGCTCTGGGTAGTCAGTAGGCATCTAATAAATGCTTGTTTCCACCCCACCCTTTGGTCTTGCCTCCTGTTCCCTCTATTTTTGCCTGCTAGGTATTTGTTGTTTGTGAATAGTATCTCAAGTTGCCAAGGCTGACTTGAGACCTGATCCTCTGGCCCTCACCTGAGCGCTGAGATCACAGGATTGTACCACCTTGCCCAGTTGTATTTGATTTGGTTTTGTTATTTTGCTATGAATTTGCTAGGGTCTGGGCTGACCCTAGTTGCTTCCCCCCAGCCTCCCAAGTGCTAGAATTACAGACAATTCCCTGCTGTATTTGACACAATTCAATTAAGTAAATAGTTATCCAGCAACTCCCTGCCTCCAGGTTGGGCGAACTGAGAAGGCCATGTGACCCTCACCTGACCCAAAGCCCAAAGACGTCCTGTTCAGCTGCTAATGTTTGCACCTCTGTTTGGGGCTGATGTGGAAAGAACTTCACTCTTAGATCATTTTTCACAGAGCACATTCTCAGAAGTGGGTCAGCAACACAGGATACCATGAAGACACAGGTTAGAGTGCTTCAGAAAGAATGTGGGAACAGTGGGTCCTCACTGACCTCCTGCCATAAAAAGAGAGTCTCCCTGCAGGTGGTGCATTCCTATAACCCCAGCACTCGGGAGGCTGGGGCTGGAGGAGTCCAAGTTTCAGGCTAGCCTTGTCCACAGAGTGAAACCACATTTCACAAAACGATGTGTGTGTAGTGGTGGAGGAGGGCGTCTACAGATGGCTCACTGGGTACAATGCTGGTTATTCAAGCATGAGGACTTGAGTTTGGATCCCTAGATGGGCACTAGAGCGTGTAACCCCAGCACTGCCTGGAGGGACAGAAACAGGTAGCTTCCTGGAGTTCACGGCCAGCCAAGTCTAGCCCAAACAGAGATCACCACAGTAAGGCTCAGACTCAGTGAGACCCTGTGTCAAAGTAGAGAGTGACAGGAAATCCGAAATTCACCTCTGCCTCCAGGTGTGTACACATGCATGCGTGCTGCTGTGTACGCATGGCACACACAATATTCAGTCAAGTAACTGATCACAACAACTGACATAGTGTTTCCTGTGTGCCACACTGTGTCCAGATACTTTGTAGGTGCTTTATCTGCTTATTTGAGGTGCTGGAAATCTAAGCCAGGTGAATGAGAGTGGGGTTAACTCCATACAGCACCCACCCTTTGAAATGAGCACTGTCGCTGTCAACCTTTTACCGACTAGGGAGACAGGGTTTCTCTGTGTAGTTTTGGTGCCTGTTTATCTTAGTTACCTGAGGAGTCCAAGCTGAGCCCCTCTGCAGTTAGAGTTAGAGCAGCATCTGCAGTGAGGGTTCCTAACCAGTGCTGTGCACCCCTTCCGGAACTGACTGAGTCTCAAAAGCAATGTCGTGCAATAGTGTTTTCCACAGTCACAAAGATGCTCTGTAATCCATAGGTACAGTATGGTAGCCTTGCATCTCATCTGCCAATTGATGGCTTAAAAGATGTCCAGGGAGCCGGGCGGTGGTAGTGCACTCCTTTAATCCCAGCACTCGAGAGGCAGAGCCAGGCGGATCTCTGTGAGTTTGGGCCAGCCTGGTCTGCAGAGTGAATTCTAGGACAGGCACCAAAACTACACAGAGAAACTCTGGGGGTGGGGGGCAGGGGGGGGGATGTCCAGCGAGGACTATAACTTAGTCCTTAAAGTGCTTGCCTAGCAGCAGAAAGCCCTGGGTTCAATCCCTGACACCACATAAACCAGACTTGATGTTTGCCTGTCACCCCAGCACATGGGGGTGGAGACAGGAAGATCAGGAGGTAAAAGTCAGTTTAAGTAAGGAGATCTTATCTCAAAAGAGAGGTGAAGAGGGCGTGGAAGGGCCAGAGCGTTGGCTCAGCAGTTAAGAGCACATACTGCTCTTGTAGAGAACCCAGATTGTGTAGTCACACTTTACAAGGACAGTCTAGGACTTCCTGAGCTAAAGGAAGCCATTGCTATCCAGCCCACATTCCCAGTCTTATCCGCCTGCCCCCACCCCTGCTCCCACCCCGGCACTCCTCAACTTCCTCCACCCCTGTCCTCTCCAGCCCTCAAGATCCACTTGTCTTCTGAGACCAAGGCTGTGCTGGAGGAGTTCGATGGTTTCGAGCTGGAGCTTCGAGGGGATGTGGAAATGAAGGTAGGAAAGGAATCACTCTAGTCCCCAGAGGATCCCAAGGCCACTCCCATCTTTACAGTTCTCAAGTGACTTGGGCAAGTAGATGTGCCGTTCCCTACCCAACCTTCTCTTTTTATTTTTTCCAGGGCAAAGGCAAGGTTCGGACCTATTGGCTCCTGGGGGAGCGGGGGTGTAGCACAAGAGGCTGACCTAAATCTCCTGCCGTCCCTCTCTCTCATCACCTCCCTTCCCTGTGCCGGAGATGACAGAGGCCCCCAGCTTCCACCTCTCCCACAGCAGCCGAACCACTGCAGAAAGATTAGGGACCTGAGCTGTGTTCCAGCAGTCACCAGCTGTGACCTCTGAGAGAGGATGGAGATGGTGGGGCCTGGAGGGGACCCCGTGAAACTCACAGGGCTGACTGAAATACACAGTCACTCCCGGTGGCACACTCGGAGCACACGTACCCTGTCCCACCCTTCCTCAGCTGCCAAGGTTGGGAAGGCGACTCCTTGTCCTCCCTCAACTCTGCGCCACTGTAACTTTTATAGGGAGGGAAATCGCCACCTGAGGGAAATTGAAAAAGAGACTCTAGGCAGGCGTTTGCAGGAGGTGAGCAGTCACGGGTCACAAATCCTCCCCTCACTCCCATCCCACCCCACCCCACAGACCTTGCACACAGTGCACCAGGGAGAAGAAGGCCTGTGGTCTCCATGCCTTTGCTTCTCCTATGAGCAAAAACCATTAAAGTCTTCCTTCCTATGAACAGTCTCTTCTTGCGGGGAAGGGGGTTGCTGGGAAACAGTCAGGTTCTTTCTCAGCTTCCAAAAGAGTTGCCTTCAACTCTGTTTCTTTTTTGTTGTGGTTACAAATTGTACACTTTTAATCGAAGAGACCCCACAATTTCCCAGCAGTGCTAAACTAGTCCCAACTAGCCGGGCGGTGGTGGCGCACGCCTTTAATCCCAGCACTCGGGAGGCAGAGCCAGGCGGATCTCTGTGAGTTCGAGGCCAGCCTGGGCTACCAAGTGAGTTCCAGGAAAGGCGCAAAGCTACACAGAGAAACCCTGTCTCAAAAAAAACCAAAAAAAAAAAAAAAAAAAAAAAGAGTCCCAACTAACTTTTGTTTACATAGGTTGTGTTTGTTGATGCTGGCCTTGTTAAAATTAAAAAGAGGCAGGGCTGTAGTCCTAGCCACTTACTGAGGCCGACACAGGAACATCAAAGGTTCAAGGCCAGCCTGGACAACTTAATAAGCTCATCTCAAAAAAATAAACTGGCCCTAGATGTTGGCTCACACCTGTAATCCCAACATTTTGGAGGCCGAATCAGGAGGATTGCTGGGAGGGTAAGGCCACACTGGGCTACATTCCAAGCCAGCCCAAGACCTTGTCTCAAAAAAGGTCTAATAGGCCGGGCGGTGGTGGCGCACGCCTTTAATCCCAGCACTCGGGAGGCAGAGCCAGGCGGATCTCTGTGAGTTCGAGGCCAGCCTGGGCTACCAAGCGAGTTCCAGGAAAAGGCGCAAAGCTACACAGAGAAACCCTGTATCGAAAAACCAAAAAAAAAAAAAAAAAAAAAAAAAAAAAAAAAAAAAAAGGTCTAATAAAGAGGTTGAGGATGTGGTTCAGCTGATAGAGGGCTTCCCTGTGGTGCATCAAACTCTGGGTTCTATCTTGGAGGTGGAGGAAGGAAAATCGTAAATTCAAGGTCATCCTTGGTCACATAGTGAGTTCAAGGTTTACAAAGACATTTTTTTTAGTTTGGTTTTGGTTTTGGCTTTTTCAAGACAAGGTTTCTCTGTGTAGCCCTGGTTGTCCTAGAACTCACTCTGTAGCCCAGGCTGACCTCAAACTCACAGAGATCCACCTGCCTCTGCCTCCCAAGGGCTAGGATTAAAGGCGTGCACCACCACTGCCTAGCTCTAGATTTATTTTGTGTGTATTGAGTGTTTTGCCTGTTTGTATGTCTGTGCACATGTGTTATGTCTGGTACCCTGGTACAGAGGCCAGAAGAGGACAATCGATCTTCTGGAGCTGGAGTGAGAGGTGGTTGTGAGTCACCATGTGGGTGCTGGGAGCTGAACCCGGGTCCTCTGCAAGAACAGCAAATGCTCTTAACTGCTGAGCCAGCTCTGTCTGCAGCACCTCCGCTATCTCCTCACACCAGCAAGGACCTTCTCAAGAGAAATGGGCCTCTTCAGTGAGGGGCCGTGATTAGTGATGCTAACCACTGAGCCATCTTTCTGGCTCCTCATGGAGCCTTTTGTTTTTATTTATTTTTTTTTTTATTTTTTTACTTATTTTGTGTGTGTCGTAGGGGGCAGGCTCACACAATCCGCTGCATATATGTGGAGGACAACTTTCAGGATTCATTTCTCTCCTTCCACCAAGTGCCGTTACCTGTTGGGCCATTAGACTGGCCATTAGGGGTCCCTTCGAGACTCAGTTGTGGTGTGGGAATGGGGTTCTTCCGCTTCCCTACACTCCATTCCCTGTGTCCGCGTAGGCAAATGTGACTTCACCCTCTGCCCCTCAGGAGGGCTGGAAATGCCCTGGCAGTTGGCTGAATGCTTGCCTAGTATTCACGAAGCCCCAGGTTCCTGCTCTAACACTGAATTCGTGGTGATCCAGGCCTCTGATTCCACCATTCCAGAGAGATGAAGTTGGAGGACAATCTGAACTACATGATAACCTGTCAAAAATAATGAAGTCTCAGCTGGATCCAGAGTCCTCCTTTCCCAGCTCCAGCCACCTAGCACCTTCCTAAGCAGTCCCGCAGGAATGTGGGGGAGAAGGGCCGCTTCACTTCCCCCACAGGGAAGCCAAGTGCCAGACATTTCTTCATCACCATCCATCAAACGCAGACAGGCCTCTGCCCTGACCTCCCCAGGCCTCTTCCTGGAGCCTGTGCCAAGTGGGACCTGGCGGTAGGGTGGGACACCAGGGGCTTAAGGTCTGGCTACCAGGCAGTCGGTTCTCTTGTGTACATCAAAGGTGGCTGGAGGGCTGACGAGATTTACCGAGAGGGTGCTTGCACTCACTCACCAGCCAAGCTTCGGATGAGAAGCTGTAGAAGGAAAGATGGTTGTCCTGGCAACCAGGGCACTCTCAACTTTCTGTGGGCCCTGGTAGCCATTTTAACTCCCATGCCCAATTCCTCCCAGGAACTGTAGACAGACCCCCAAGGAGAGGCTATGATGTAACTACTACAGGGGCCTATGAGATGATACACCAGGCTGGGGCATCCAGAGAGACTGGCTTTGGGGAAGAGAGACTGAGATGAGGTGGGGAAGGGGGTGGGGAGCTGGATGACTGAGGAGCTCGGGCAAGACAATTCTAGGAAACTGTCGGTCAGATCCTTCCGGGGCAGCCAGGCTCCAGCGGGCACTGGGAGGGGATGAGGCTGGGAGGGGGCCCTGCGGAGACGCCAAAGGGGTAGATGATTTCTGCAACCCCAGAACTTTCACTGGAACTGAGGAGATTTCCTTCCGGAGTTAGGCCCCTGAAGCCAGGAAGAACTGGGAAAGCCATTACGGGGAGTGAAGGGGAGTGGGGGGGGGGGGGGGGGGAGAGGCGAGAAGGCCCCTCCCCTAAGCAGGGGCTCCGGCCCACGTGGGAGGGGCTGTCTAGCTTCAGAGTTTCCTGGGCTGTCCAGCCTAGTGGGCTAGGAGGAGGGGAGGAGAAGGGCAACAGGGTTTCCCTGGAGTGTGCTTTGTGTAATAACAACAGCAACAATTGGCATTCGGCTGTGCCTCTCAGTGGACAAAGGCTTTCACATATATTATCTCATCAGCCCACGTGACACCCCTGAAAGAGGAGGGCAGACCAAGGAGGCCACCCAACTGCCAGTAGGAAGGCCCAGCAGAGGTCCAGCTGTGGACCCACAGCTCCAGCTAGGCCAGGACCTGGAAAAAACAGAGCTGACGTAAGCAGACAAATATCCTCCCCCACTCCCAGCATACGTCAAAGCACTCGGGTAGTTTATCATAGTGTTGCATTTATTTGCTGCAAAATAATTTATACCTTTCAGGATAGATCTACAAAAATAATTAATGACAGAGACCAATTTTGCAGCCTTGAAGCCATTTTTAAATTAAGTTGCAGAAACGATAAAAAGTATTTTTTTTTATTAACAATTTTAAAAATATGCCTTTCAAGAAGATTTAATCTCTCTGGGTTGGAATGCAAATGAGACGAAGGATTAGAATGCAGATAAATTTGGTGTTGCACAAACAGGGATGAGGATGGGGATGAGGATGGTGTCACTAGCACCAGAAGGAGTTCCCTTCCCTCTCAGGGACCTCTGTTCAGTTCATGCTGGATCCTTGACTACTTGGCTGAAAAGAATTTTAGGATCAGCCAAGACCAAGCCAAGTTAGTGAGTTTATTAAAATTATATAGGAAAAGGACAATATGCAATCCAAAGGCCCAAGAAATACGTGTAGGTTGCCATTGGCTGTCTTTACAATGACTATTAGCCGGGCAGTGGTGGCTCAGTCTTTAATCCCAGCACTCAGGAAGCAGAGGCAGGAGGATTTCTGAGTTCGAGGATAACCTAGTCTACAGAGTTCCAGGACAGCCAGGGCTACACTGAGAAACCCTGTCTCAGAAAAACAAAAATTAAAATTAAAGCAATGGCAATGTGAATGTATATATGTATAGAGAATATGTATGTGTATAGACATGTATATATATATTGCTCAAAGGATGCATTTACAACACAGTTTAAAGATTAAAGCTTAGAATTTAAATTTGAAAATTAAAAATATATAAGCTATTTTATTTGGGTTAGAGACAGGGTCTATGTAGCTCAAGCTTACTTCTGCTTCAATATGTAATCATGATGGCAATCAACTTCTGATCCCCCAGCCTTAATCCCTCTCAAATGCTGGGATTACAGGTGCATACTAGCTCACCAGTTCATACCATGTGGAGGGTAGAACCCAGGGCTTCGCGCATACTCAGTAAGCATTCTACCAAGTGAACCACAGTCTCAGCCCTACGATTTTTTCCCCTTAGTTTTTTTTGGGCTCTAGAGAGATGGCCCAGTGGGTTAAGTGCTTTGCTGAGCAGGCGTGGAGTACCCACTGAAAGCTGGAGCAACAGCACTCACCTGTAACTACAGTGCTGCGGGTAGAGGGGAGCTAAGGGACCACAAATCCAGCCAAGTCTGCAAGCTCAGAATGTCATGGCAGTGAGAGTGCCAGAGGAGGACACCTGAGGCCAACCGTCTGTCCTCCGTCTGCAGTGCACACGCGGCTGAGCACTCATATATATACCACACACAAAGAGCCACAAAAGGATTCTGGGCCTGAGGCCATGGTTCTGTGGTAGAGTGGATGCTTAGCATACATGAGAGCCTGGAGTCCACACAGCACTAGGGGGAAATTTTCTTTTGTGAAATAGATTGTGGTTGTGGTAAGCTCATATATTGGAATGCTTAGTCATCAGGGTTAAATGCTTAGTCATTTAGTCAGGGAGTGGCACCACTTGAGAAGGATTAGGAGGTGTGGCCTTGTTGGAGTAGGTGTGGAGGAAGCGAGTTACTAGGGGTGGGCTTTGAGGCTTCAAATGCTCAAGTCAGACCCAGTTGCTTTCTCCTCCTGCGGCTTATGGATCCAGATGCAGAACTTTCAGCTACTTCACCAGCACCATGTCTGACTGCTTCCTGCCATGCTGATAATGGACTAAACCTCTGAAACTGTAAGCCAGCCCCAATTCAATGTTTTCCTTCATGAGAGTTGCCGTGGTCATGGAGTCT